CGTACAGGCTGACCCTAATTACGTGTAACGAGTTCATAAATGCGAGCCGCACGCACCTGTAGCCCAGCTCGCACCCACCTGGCCCTGTGTTCCATTCCATTGCGTTCCCCGCTTGCGTTGGGATGCGTCAATGTGACACGAATTATATTTTTGGCGCCCCTGTTCGCTGCGTTTTTCTCTGTTTGCGGTTCATTAAAATTAGAAAAGCCAAAGGCTAATTGCAAAACAACTGAGCCACAGCAGAGCACGACTCGTAAATACCCTGTGATTTAAACGAGGGTACAGTTGATTGATTCTAGGCGCCAACTGCAACGGTAGCTGAGCTAAGCCAAAGTCTAGAGTGTCTATTAGAAAACAAATGAATGTGTGAATGAGAAGCGCGACTAGCAGATACCCTGCAAAGCCTATTATATTATATCATATTCGAATATCCTGTTAACTTTTTTTGAGCATAGAAAAAATGGCTTTCTCTATTTATATATACTGTGTCACGAGCTAAGCATACAATCAACTCCTACTTTTACAGGGTATTCTCAACGAGTGTAGCCCGTGACTTAAACTGTTACTGTAACTGTGACATGCCGCATTCTTTTGTGATTTGCCAGTTGCCTGCCTCGCTTCGCATTTGGCTCGTCCTTTTGTTTTTTGGGGCTTGTCCGTCTGCTAATTAATCATGCCGCTTGTCACGTTTGTCACTTGCAGTTCGGGATTACTTTTATGTTGTCTCGTTGTTGTTGTTGTTGTTGTTTGATAGCAGTTGACGTCATTTGTGGTTCGCACCTTTCACTGACATCATTTTGATTGTCTGAATTGGGCACACAGATGAATGGACAAAAAGTACAAGCCAGGAGCTCACATATGTTTGAGGCAAATACCAACAAAGGGCTTTACTTTTATAGAGAGTCATGATTATTTATTATAATAACACAATTAGAAGTTGACCAGCTTATGTCGATGGTCAATGCGGACAGGAACACGGCCTAAAAGTAGAGAGCAGAAATATTTACGGCTGCTAACTTTTAGCAGGTGAAAGTTTGTAGCAGAAGTATTCAACTAGAACGCTGTGTGTGCGTTGGACTAAGAAATGAAAAGTTGCTGGTTCAAATCTTGCTGAAATGACTTAAATATGCATATTTCTATATTTACTTTGTTTCTATTCAACTAAAACGCAGCCTTTTATATATGCCAGATCGCAAGTGACTCTGAGCGCCGAACAAAGAAATTAAAAGTTGCTGGTTCAAATTTTGCTGAAATGGGTAAAATATGTATATTTATATATATACTTTGTTTCAATATAACTAAAGATTTGCCTTTTATATATGTGTGACTAGTCAAGAGCGTAAGTGCCTTATTTGTCTGAACGTTGAACTAAGAAATAAAATGTTGCTGGATCAAATCTAGCAGAAATGTGTTAAATATGTATATTTCTTTATTTACTCTGCTTTTGTTGACCATGAAAACAATGCTTAAGTATCTAAGAATTGGCCACATTAGACCTTATATACTAACTTGGAGCTTGGAGCTTAACTGGGTCATTTCAAAATTTCGAAAATACTGAGTTCTTTAAATAATCACAAAAAAACGCAAGCCACACATTTGCAACTATTTGTTCCTCTTTAAGCCACTTGACACTCTGTTTTAATTAAAATTCCATTTCCAGCTTGTTTTCGCTTTATTTTATACCCTTTTCGTCAATTGAAAGCTTCTACTATTTAAACGCAGCTAAATCAACGCATACAAGAGCTATCCAAAAAAAAGAAACCTTTTGCACCTGTATTTACTGAAGAAATACCAGAAAGAGTGATTCCTCTATTCAACGAGAGTAACGTGCACTTTCTTGCCATTTAAGCTGAGTTTATCAAGAATGGCAGAGTTGTTGTTGCCATTAAGGGTCTTTGTTGTTGTTTGGTGTTGTTGATGGTTTTAGCGTGCCACAGCAAATGTTGCTGCCAGTGCAGTTGCTGCTGCACCGCATCAAAGTCAAAAAAAGAAAAAGAAAAATAGAAAAACCAAAAATCGCCAACGTTTCCATTTCATTGCAGCTGTTGCTGCTGCTGTTGCTGTTGTTGCTGCTGCTGTTGTTGTTGTTGTTGTTGTTGCTTTCAACAAGAATCAGCCACCAAATCTGCAGCTCACACACTCTAAAGCCCCCCTCTCTCTGTGTGTGTGTGTGTTGCAGGTGGCAAAGCATAAAACTTCATCATTGTCGCCTGGGCTCACGTGTTCTCATGTGAATGTTGTTGCTGCTGCTGCTGCTGCTGATGATGATGCTTATGATGGCAATAGAAGCTTCGCCCAGCAGCAATGATACCACAAAAAAAAAAAAAAAACAACAACAAGCAGCAGCAACAACGGCGACAACAAAAGCAATATATCATGAGTCCAGCTTTTAGCCAGCTTTTCATAATCAGTGATGCATTGCCAACAGCTCGCAGCTGACAATGTCGACAACAACGATGCAGGAAAAGCGCGAAAAATGACTGCAATGTTGCCAGCATGACATTGCTGTTGTTGTGCCCCGCTGCCCTCTGCTGCTGCTGCTGCTGCTGCTGTTGACATAAATCCATATTTTGTACAGCAAATTTCACGATTGGCCACAACAACAGCAGCAGCGGCAGCAGTTCAACACGTGGAAAGCAAATTGCTAAAATTTTCCAATTAACTTTCAAGTTCAAGAAGCAGAACTAGAGCAACAACAGCAACAACAACAACAGCAGCAACATCTGCTCTCACCTTTGCGAGCTGCTGCTATAGACAAAAGTTGCATAAATCCCATTTGCTGCAGCGGCTCACGTTGAAGATGACAAAATATTCAACGTCACATGGTTATAGCCAGTGCAGTCAACTGTGTACGTGTGTGCGTGTGTGTGTGGGTGTGTGTGTGTGTGTGTGTGTGTGTGTGTGTGTGTGCGTGTGTGTTTGTGCATGATATGTGTGCTTGTGCTTGGCTGGTCCATCATTCTTCATTTACTGAACCGACACCAAGAACATTGTCAGCAGCTGGCGCTGGCAGCAGCAACATCATCCGCATTCGCATCATCATCATCATCCATCGATGTGGATATGGATGCAATTGTTGCTGTTGTTGCCTTGGTTACTATGGATGCCCAATGCCTGATGCCCAATGCCTGATGCCCAATGCCTGATGCCCAATCCCTGGATGCTCATGATGAGCGTACAAAAATAACCATGACGCATTAACTTGCCTTAACGGGGCAACGCATGCGGATGGCAAACAAAGCGCGACAGGCGAGCAAACAAACAAAATGACAGCGCGAGACAGAGCGAGAGCGAGACAGAGCGAGAGAGACAGACAGAGGGACAGAGGGTCAGTCAGTCGGATAGATGCACAGTTAGACAGCCGGACAGACGTGAGCCTTGGATAAGCCAACAGTTCAGCGTTGCTTTGGGGTCAGGACATTGCACCGCATTCAACATTTGACGTGCGCGCGTTTCACAGTGCTGTTGAAAGGCATTTAAGTGTTGCAAAATGCACCGCGGCGCGGGCAGTGCTCCAAAGCGCAACGTTAGTTAATTTTCATTGCGCTGTCAAATTTTTTTATGTGCTATTTGATTGAGTTTCTGAGTGATGTTTATGCTAAAATGCTGCACTATTATAAAGTTTTGGGGCAATCGAAATTGGGCATTGCAAATGAATTGAAATTTTAATGCCAAGCATAACATTAAATTCACATGAACATGATTATGCTAGTCCAATATTGCGCCTCCTCTTCCTTCACTAGCTACGCACTCTTTTAAAAACTCTTTAATTTGTTTAAATGTAGCATTTTAATTAAGTTGTTTTACATTTAAGTTTGCTCAACAACATTAAGCTCTAACCCGAGAGCTGCCTAAAGTGTTGCCTACATTTGAGCGCCCTTCTAATTACTTAATGACTGCTATCTACAAGTGAAGGGCTGAAAAAGCCACACAACAAAATGTACAAAAAAGACCAAAAAACATGGCTACAGACAGAGGTTGGTGTAAGCCGCACACACACATGCACACCTGCGGCCAGACTAATCTATCATGTGCCATAAAGCGGCGCCCGACGGTGTCGCTGGCCATTTGCAGCCGCAGCCCAAAAGCAGGAGCATCCGCGCAGAGGCGAGTTGCGTGGCCAGATGCGGTGGGCGGATAAACACTGGCCTCAATTTCTTTTTTTGCTTTTTACTTGGGCTGATAAGCCGCATTGTGTCCGGCGAGCTGCGCACGCGGCTTTTGTGGCACCAACGACGACGCCGACGACGACGTCGACGGCGGCGGCGGACAGTGTGAGAAATGTTTATGACTCCGCAGGGAGCAGAGGAGTTCAGTTGCACAGCTGTTGCAAAAGAATGCAAAGCTCAAGCGTGCGGTGTGGGGCGGGGGCATGCTGCTGTAACTGTAAGCGAGACTAAGCCCTGAACGAGCCGCTAAAAGCCTTCACTGTGTGTGTGCGCGTAAAAATCCTTGTGAACAAAATTTGGACAGCGGCTAATTTAAGTCGCATTAAGAGAAACAAATGCGTCAAAATGTTGAGAGCTGGGTCAGCAATGATAACATAATATTAAGCAGCTGCCTAAGAGTATGCAATGCTTTTTATTACGCTGAACTGCATGCACTTGTTAACAGTCTGTTAAAGGCCAACAGCTGTTAAAGTTGCACTCTGTTAAGCTGCTGTAGAAGCATCAAAGTGTGGAATAAGCTTTGTTGAGCCTGCAGTCAATAAATATTGCAGCGAAATCTATTATCTATTTTGTGAGGAACTATTGGGATATTGAATAAGGAATTGTTTGATAAGCTATGTTTAATATATAGACAATTAATGGGTATTACCACGAGCTATATGCCAGCATGTGAGAGCACGCGGACGGATCCGTCTATATCAACTCCTGATTAAGACTGGGTGTATATATGCTCAAATATTTCCTCACTTCACTATTTGCTAGCCCAAGCTGCAGGTTTGTCTTAGCTTAAAAGGAATTCTAGAAAAAAGTAAAAAGAAAACAAGCAATAAATTCGAAAACCGGTAAAAAGAACAAAACATCAAAACTCTTATTTAATGCTGGTGGAAATTTGGAAGCTTTTTGAACATTTCAAATTTCGCGACACGACTCGACTCAGAATTCGTAATCCATGCATATATAGATATATATTTATATATATATATATGTATATATATATATTTCATTTCAATTTGTTTGAAATAATTTTCAATAGAAAATTTGCTGGCGCCCCGTTAGCGGGCGTCGGCCGTACAAAAACGCGAATTAAACTGTTTACGACGTGACGATGTCAAACATTGGTTGTCGATGTGGCTGCCGGACGGTGGCCCGCCTCCATGTTGCTGAGCTGCTTGACGCCCGGCGGATAGCTGATGTACGGGGTGAGGGTGCGCGAACCGGTGCCCTGGAGCGACTCGCGGGATCGCAGCGCCGCGGCAGCAGCCGGCATCTGATGGGTCAGCGGCACGCCGGAGACGATGCGATGGTGTTCAATAAAAAACGGATGCTTGAGCGCCTCCTCAGCGGAGATGCGTTTCTGTGGATTCACCTCGAGCAGGCGTCCAAGCAGATCGTATGCATGATGGGGGAACATATCCAGTCCCTCGTATGTCTCCAGCTGATGGCTGCTGTGCTTGCAGATGCAATTGAAGGTGGCCTGTTCGCAGTGGCGGCACAGCTCCATGTTGCCATCGGCCCGTCGATGGCGTCTCTGTATTTCCGGCGAGAGGAAGTGATTCGCATAGCGGAAACGCATGCAGACGCGACGCAAATCCAAAGCGGCCACCTTTTGCGTTATCAACACCAGTCGATCCAGCATAAAGGCCGTTTTGCGCACCTGCACGTCCCCAAACAGATTCATGATCTCCGACAGCGCCGCACAATCGTTGGGCGCCTTAAAGAACGGATGCAGCGACGACAACATGGACAGCATTATCACACCAGCCGCCCACACATCCACCGCCGTCGTCTGGTGCGGATATCGCAGCAGCACCTCCGGAGGCCGATAGCCCGGCGTGCCGGCCCTCGATGCGTGCATCTCCTTCCGGATATTGTTCGTCGATACCACATAATTGTTGGGATCGACATTGGCGTTCGTGTAGCGCAGGCGATTGATCAGACGCTGTGTGTCCGCCTTCTGTGCGGCCAGATCCTTTTTGCTCGGCTCCTGCAGCTGCTGCTGCTGCTGCGGATGCTGCAGCTGATTGGTGGACTCACCGAATGCCGTGGTGCCGCCGCCGGCAGCGCGCATTCGACGCTCGGTATCCGCCTGCAAACGATGGGCGGCGGCCTCGTCCTCCGCCTGGACACTGTTGCCCTCGTGGCGCAACAGTTGCTGCTGTGCCGCATCCATGTCGCGCAGCAATGCGGCAGCACCGCTCAAATCCGAGGCCTGAATGAGGCTGCCATCTTCGGCGAGTCGCTGCGCGAGTCCAAAGTCGCAGAGCAGAAACTTGCCGGTGCGACGATTATACAATATATTGCTCGGCTTGACGTCGCGATGGATCACATTGAACTTGTGCACATGCCGCAGGGCGACCAGCAGATTGCGCAAATAGTCCTTCACCTCGAACAGACTGAGATTCCGATAGACATCGTGGAAGCGATCGTGGCTCATGAAGGGCATCACAAAGGCCACATTATCGTTGTAGCGTATACAGCAATTGATTCCGATCACATTGTGATCGCCGCCCATGCGGAACATGCACTCCAGCTCGCGCAGGATGCGCTCCGGATGATTCGTCGGATTGTGATGCTTGATGGCGAACCGACGACGTTGCGCCTCCGGCAGCTGGCGCTCCCGCTGCAGTGTGCCGAGCAGGACGGTGCTGAAGGTGCCGCTACCGATGCGACAGTGGACATCGAAGATTTTCGTTATCTCCGGTATGGATGTCTGCAGCTCCTGCAGCGCCTCTGCGTTCTTGTCGTGCACCTGCAACGCGGCCAGTTCGCGGAATTTGATCGTGTTGCGGCGTGCCATGCGCGACAATTTGTCCGTCAGATCGTTGTTTACGCGCTGCACCTGCGTCAGCAGCGGCAACACCTGCGGCTGTGGCGCCACCTGTTGCCCAGCGTGCGGCACACAATAGCGTCCCAGCATGCCAATGCCGCAATTGGCACGTTCCCGTTCCCGCTCCCTTTCACGTTCACGTTCACGTTCCCGGCTGGGCTGCGGCTCCCGGATGCTCACCTGGCGGCTGCCGAATTGTTGGCTTGTCTTGCCCACATTTTTGTTGTTTGTTGCGGCTGTTGTTGTTGCTGCTGCTGTTGCTGCTGTCGACATGGTTGTTGTTGTTGTTGTTGTTGTTGCCGGCGCGGAGGCTGCTGCAGTTGTTGTTGTCGTGATGTTTGGTATTGAGCCTTGCTTCAGTTTCGCCTCCAGAGCCACGAGCTTGGCCTGGAAAGGATGCGGAAGCGTCTTTGGCTGCTGCTGATTGCCGTGAAACGTATGCGAATGCTGCTGCTGCGGCTGATGATGATGCAAATGCTGCTGCTGCTGGCGCGGATGCTGATGCTGTTGATGCTGCTGATGAAGATGCTGCTGCTGCTGCTGCTGTAATTTTTTGTCCATTCTATCCATTAAAAATTTAGTAAACATTTGCGCGTTCCATTTACAGCCTTGTCCCCTATGATAAGGATATGCTGCTTCGTTCTTGGCGAATCTAATATGCAGAGGACAAACCACAATGACGTTCGATTTGTCGTTGTGGAATTGGGGAGGGTTGAAATGGGTATGGGGGTGGGGGGAGGAACGGCAATGAGATGATTTTTTTTTTTTGTGGATGCTTTGCGTAAGGCGCTAAGCAACTTGGCGCTTACCACAAAAACACAATAATTTCGTACGGAATTTGTGTTTGAATTTTGTGCTAGAAAATGTCGAGTTTTTTAAAATGATCAAAGACTATTCAGAAACAAATACTAAACTTTCTGATTTTGACAATAAATGCCCAGACATCATCTGACCAACTGAAACGACAATAATTGTTTGTGTATGTATGAGCACATGTGATCTTTAATTTTTCAAATTAAACATTATTTAATGGTTGGGCCCAAGTTGCGTCTTATTCTCCAGTTTCTTGCCATTGCAGCTCTAATAATATATATTTTCTCATGAGTACCCCTAACAGACAAGGAGAAGGTGCGAAGTTTTTGTCCACGCCAACCCCAAATCGTGTGCATTGAGAAAATAGGTTATTTTCTTTCTTTTATGTTTTTTAATTCCTAATTATTTTAATAATCTTATTAATTTCTTTTTGCGTTTATAAAATAGTTTAATGTACATTATTTATATATATCCCTCAAAATTACCCTGTTTTGAGTGTAACTTTTAATTTTAATTTTCAAAATATTACGGGCATATAGTCAGATCTTAAAGAAAACAGCAACATGGCCAAGTTAAAGTAGCTCATTCGAAAGCCCAAAAAAGTATGCAGTAAAATCTGAAAATTACGAGCTTTTGGCGCAGCGCAAAAGTATGCAATACTTTTGGTGCATTGCATTATGTATGCTTGAAAGCATGCAGCATTATGTGCTGCCGCATAAAAGCAGGCAACACTATATTTTTAATGATTACTTTCAAACCTTAGTATGCAGGTCTTTATTATAAAAATTCATTTTGAGGTTCGTATTTGTATAGGCCAATATTCGCTATAAATACAGTGTATTTATATAGAAATTAAAATTATGTTCTCTTAAAGTTTTAGTCCGATGATTTAACAATTTTTGCTAGAAATTCTCATCTCAACATCCCAAAACGCTCAGTGTCATCCTTTATCAACGTAGCTCCCCGTCCCCAGCAACTGCTCATACTCTGTCATCCGAGTGTACCACAAGCACACACACACCCACTCACACACACACACACACACACACACACACACACACATAACCTCCATTCAAATGGCCAAACGAGCGGCAGCTGATGCTAGTTTTGTAGTGTACGGACTAGCGCCATCTAGCGTCAACTTTTGCATGCAATTTACCGTTACACAGTTGACACTTAAACTGTCGCCATTGCCAACCCCCCTGGACCGACCCAGGCCGTGGGCCAGCCAAATGGCCGCCTCTTTGGCCGTGTCAACATCAGCTGCCAGTGTCCACTTGTTTTTCACTTGATGCCCAAAGTTTCAGCGTGCGGCAACAGCTGCCATTGTTTGCCACGCCCCCCCTCACAATACCCAACCTGCCCTGCGTCCGTACATAGTGGCGCCGTCTATTAGTTCTCTTTTTGTTCTTGCAAGTTTGCCCAATGAATATATTTAAATATCGTTTCCATAAAAGTTCTCCTCGCCGAAAATGTTTGACAAAAGGTGAGATAAAAAGCTTCCAACTCTTAAGTGCTGCCAAGTTGTTGCAGGAAATAGCAACAGTCTGGCAGCATTATTAAATTTCTATAAATCATTGCATTTGATATTTCTATTTTATACGCTGTTCGTAGAGCGGAAAAAGAGTATGCTGGATTGAATCTTAAAAATATATTCTCGTTCATCGTTCGATTGGCAGAAAGCCGTAAAAAGATTGGGTAACTCCTAATCGAAAACCTTAATTAATTTGCAATTTATTTGAGAAGTAACTAGAGAGTATTCTTCAGTCGATAACACCCGAGTGCAACTTACTTGCGTGTTCATATATCCATATTAATGGGAATTCAATGCGCTTATTATAAAAGTTTCAAGTTTCTAGTTTCAAGTGCCAATTGCAGCTTTGGGCCGCGTTGGCAGCGCCAAATGCTGTTCAAATAACTAAAAATTGGTTAAATTACGAGCTCATATTGTTGCCTAGTTGAAGGCTTTAACTGCCACATTTTACTGGGCCACTTCAAGGAAACAATTGTCGATTCGTCTGGGCCGGCACTTGAGAGGGGCCCATAGAACACAATTGCCGGAGAGCACTTGACTAAGACTTTTGGCTGCCACTTCCGGCTGGTTGAGGCGCTGAGGCCGAAAGCAAACTTCATCAAAGTATTCTGACCAAAAATCTTCTTTGCCCTTCGGCCTCTTCGACTGGCACATGGACAGCCAAACGGCGCGAAGTGGTAAACACAGAAGTTTTGGCCAATTGTGAATTGGATTTGTACAACAGACACTCGACTCCCAAATTGAGAAACTAGAAATACAATTAAATACAAAACGAATTAGCTAGCCTCGCGGTTGGGCTGATGCGGATATAATGGGCGACGGGTGGGGTTGGATTTGGGTTTGAGTTTGGGTTTAGGCAACACGCAAAGTTTCCGTTTGCTGTGTTTCATTTCTGTTTTAGCGCTTTAATCAGCTTAAGGAACTTATTAACCAGAATTACTTTGAGGCTTGTTATGTGCAACAAATTGAACTTGAACACTGAACGAACAAGAAACTTTAAATATACGAACTGTTCTTCATACACTTTAAAGCAAAGTTTGGTTTGCACCTCAAGATTGTGGGAAATTTTGATATAATATTATTATAAACTAATTGACTTTTCAGCTTTATTACTATCCAATTTATATAAATATATATTTATATATCTTACTTTTTAAAAGCTGAGCAAAACTGGTTCATTTCTTATAACTGCGTATACAAAGCAGAGCTAAGATGAACTAGTTCCTATATTAAACACATTCATATGAATATACTAATGAATATTGATATTCAAATTCTACAGAGCGGAACTAGCTCATTATCTAGTATATTTAAATATTGAACCGAGTCAAGAACTAGCTCATTATGTTTTAATATTGAACCGATTCATTAACAATTCCAACCAAATCAGTCGGTTGTTATACTATATATTTGTTTATACTCGATTTTAATTTAGCCAAAATAGTTTCTTATTTTTTTCATATTTATATTATATACTGCGAAACTAGCTCGAATATGATATTCATGTATATATTATAATTAACACTTTGAAAACAGAAAGTTGTTATTAATTCATCAAATTTTCATATGCCGAACTAGTTCCCTTTTCGATCCATATAATATTATATTTTAAATCTGATGGGAACTATCTGTCATTTATCTGACCATATTTAAAAGCCTTGTTATACATCTTATATTTTGTTATTTATTAGGGCAAACTAGTTTTAATACTAGAACTACAACTTCTAATACTCATATTAATACAGATATTATATTTCAAGCAATACCATAACTGAGTTAAAATGGCTACTTTAGCATGTGCTACAAATAGATTGGTTTATAGGGATAATTTTTTACATGGTCAAAAAAAAAGGGAGCTGGTCAATTTATCGCCTGTGTATGTTAGAAAATGGAACTAGTTCTTTTATCATGTATGTATACGTATCCTAAGCTGGGAAGAAGAAAAGGATGGTAGAACTAGTTCCGCTCAGCAACATATTTGCCTATATTATATTCTTATAGCTACGTTTAACTAGCTTCCCTGTCATTTTTATATACATATGTATATCACCGCGATTTCTTATAAAACATATTCAGTGGAACCAGTTCTTATGAAATACCATACTTTTAGAGCATGTCGAATCTTATAGTGCAGCGCAGCTATATCATGATATCGTGATGTATTCTGTGCATATCTTAATACAGAGGCATAGTTGTCGTCTAACTAGATCATAACGAAGAGGAACTAGTTCACATATTTGAGGTCTGACTGCAGCTGCAACTACACTTGTAATCCAATAGTAAATCCTGTTGGACTAACTTTTGATCGACTTTTGGCCACATTCCGCAGTGGAAATTTGACTAACCGATTCGATTTTCCTTTGGCAACTGTAGTTCGCATTCTCTTGTCAATCCAAACAATTGCCACCTCGTTCTTTTGTACTCGGCTCATACGCTTTGCCTCCAGCCAGTGCACACATCCTGCGTCCTGTGCACACACAAACACACGCAAAATATGTACACATGTACACACTCATATATCACAGACACATTCGACGTATTCCAACACTCGACTCGTTGCATGTTGATTGTTTTGCCATTTTGCGGTTTCCTTCGAGTTTGGGACGCGGAACTTGGGAGTTGTTTGCGGTGTCCACTGGCTCGACCGCAGACAGCGACCGGATTGAATTGGATTGGATTCGAGGGGAGGATTCGTGGTCACGCGATGTTCTGTTGTTCTGCTTGCTGTCCCGGTGTTAAAGCCTCAAAGGTTATATAGGAACATGAGGAATATTTGGCAACTATTCGCGGCTAAACTCGCTTTGTGGTTGCTTCATCAACTCGCTCACGGCGCAATTCCTTTCGGTTTCGTGGCGAGGCTTCACAGTGCTGCCGTCTGTGCAAGATAATCTCAACAAATAGCGCACAAATTTGACTGTCAAATGTTGAATACCAACCAGCAAGAAATGTTTTCGAATTGGGATTGCGAAGATTCAATACTCTTCCAGGCAGGGATATCTTCTTTTCGGCTGTTTCACAAAGGTCTTGTGCGTGTTCAGTTTCTTACGCTTGCTAAAAAAGTTAAAAGAGTATATTGGTTTTGCACAATATCCCATTTGCAGTTGTTACTTTTTTGATG